ATTGTTTTCATTTAAATAGCACAAATATGGTATTTGGGACAATGCTTTGAAAAGATCAGTAAACTTATCAACCAACAGTTAAAAAGAATTTGTGTATGTCTCGGTTAATTTGGCTTTCCTCTTAATCACCAAAGGCATGAAGCAGCGCAAAGCTGCATGAAACTATATGACAGAAAGCTTTCTGCAAGTCGAGACATTCTCTACTGGCTTGATAAACTAGCTAGTCTATCAGCTGAAATGTTATTTATCCAGGCCTGTAGACCAAAAATTCCACCATTTTCCAATAAGGACTGAAACAAAGCAAACCAGTCAAGGCTTCCGCCTTGCCTCAGAACTTAAAAGAACACCGTTCTGTGACAGTGATAGTTGTAACGAAACAGCTTTTGATGTGATAGAGGAGAATGTGTTGTTTCCTCCTAAGTAAAGAATATCAATATGATTCTGGTTCAGTTTTTACGTTGTCTTATATTCTTGGTTTCGTTTTTACAATAGTAGGCAACGTCCTATCTCCTGTACAGTCGAACCTGCCCAGATGGCCACCTGTAGAAGACAACCACCTGTAGAAATAGCTACTTTCCTTTTCTCCCCCAGCGTTTTTTTAATATAATGCCTAGAAGCGACAACTGTGCAACGTAGCCGCGCCACTAAGTCTTATCATATCAGCCAACAGCCCCAAAAAACTGACCCAAGGTGACCACGCAAATCGCTCATTGCCTGACTTGTTGCCATAGATTATTCCCCTGATGCCATGGACGAGTGTCATAAAACCATCGCTTGCCGCTTTTGTTTGCCTGTCCTATGAATGAACCAATTGCTGTTGGGAAGATGGGCTCTTTGGTTCCCCGCACTGTTTACTCAAGTGGACTAGTCAGTAATAATTTAATTCTTCTGTCCAAAGCGTACTATTGCCTCCAAAAGGGACGTCAGAAGAGAATGGTTTGAGTTCTTCATGTTGATCAGTCCTACCTAAGTCGGCCACTTTTCTCCCCCTCACTGATCACTGAGTGGATTTGTTAGACAATTTCAAGTTTGGAAACTGTGCATCAACATGATGTTTGTTTAGTCTGTGGACATTTTTACCCACATCATTAGATATTGGTTGCTCACTGGTTATAGTAGTGTCATTTACTTCAAAAAAGTCTCAACAGAGTCATTCCCTGCTTTCTAACTGAATACAAACACTGTTTTACACGTTGCAGGTCCAATTGGTCTCGTACACATTCTAACCGCAAAGGCCAAGGGAGCGTCTGTAGTGTGTATCACAGGTAAGTCAGGCATGTCTGGTTCATAGTAACTGATTTTGGATTCTCCCTTGGGATAAAGTTTGCCCTTTTTTTCTTTTTCTTTTCTTGTCTTACAGTGAATATCAGTCATTATTATATTTTTTTTTGCGTCTGGTGACATTTAAGAGACTCACATACAACAGCTATGAATCAGAAGTGATTATGGTTTGTAGCCGAAGTGCCAACAGTAGCTTAAATTAGGCATTCAAAATCAAATGATATTCCATTGTGTTGGAAACTACCAAACCAATGCGCCCACTGGTTTTGCCATGATTAATTGTATGTCGAAGCTTTTCATGTTCATCTGGCTGTGCCCTTGGCTTTCTTGGGCCAAACGATAGCATGTCAGTGTAATGTACAGTTGTGAGCAAGTTTCTAGTAGATATACCTGGTGTGGTACCTTTTCTGAGGCCATACATTAGAGGAGTACCAACATTGTAAATTGTATCTGGGAAACGAAAAGAAGGAAAAAGCTGTAAGTTTGAGAAAAGATTAACTCTTCCCATTGAAATATGTGTTTTTTTTATCGTACTCTTAGTTTCATTTCTGATTATGCCTGACGAGAAGTTGTGTCTTTTACTTTTCTCTCCCACCCAAAATTTAAAAAATGAAATTTAGACTGAGTAGTTTTCTACTCCATATCGTTTTCTTTCTTGGATAGATATTGATGATTCAAGACTGCAGAAAGCCAAAGAACTTGGAGCTGACTATACAGTCAAGGTGACCAGTCGTGATGCGCAGCAGACAGCACAGCTGGTAGAAGAAGCCATGGGAGAGAAGCCAGATATTACTATTGAGTGTAGCGGGGCTCCTTCAAGCCTCCAAACAGCTGTATATGTAAGTTTCTGGGTTGTTTTTTTTATCTTTAGCAATTTCAAAAAACAACCGGGCATCCAAACAGTGAAAAATAATATTGAGATTGAAAAGAGGATATATACGAATAGTCATATACACACATGACACATTATGTATAAATATATATAGATCTATATATATGTAATGCTGGAAAAGCTAGACATAGATGGAAAATATCTAAGAATTATCAGGAATTTGTACTGGGACCAAAACGCTGCAATACGAATTAATGGATAATACAGTGAATATAAGCAGATTAGGCGAGGAGTGAGGCAAGGATGTGTTATGTCACCAGACCTTTTTAACATGAACAGTGAAACAATCCTTAGAAACATAGAAGAATGTCCAGGTCTCAAAGTAAATGGAGAAAATATTAATAACATCAGGTATGCAGATGACACAGTTTTTAAAGCAATAGCATGCTCAGAAAAGGACCTTCAATTGCTTCTAGATACTGTTGTAACAGAAAGTGAACGTAACGGATTATTGTTGAATGTAAAGAAAACAGAATGCATGGTAATATCCACAAAAAGCAGCAAAATCCTAGTTTGTAATCTCATTAGCAAAGGTGAAAAGATCAAACAAGTCCAACAGTTTGAATATCTAGGATATATGATAACATCTGATGCCAAATGTTCCACAGAAATAAAACGGAAAATCACAATGGCTAAGGCTACTTTCAATTAAATGAGCCCAATCCTGAAAAATAGATAGAAACATCTCAATGACCACCAAAATGAAAGTTCTGAAATGCTATGTATGGGCAACCCTTCTAAAAGGCAGTAAAGTAAATGCTGGACGATCACTAAAGACAGGGAAAATAAAATAGAAGCAACAGAAATGGGATTTCTTAGGAGACTGCTAAGAGTATCGTGGAAGGAAAAGAAATCAA